CTGTCTCCTTCTCATGGTAACTGTTTTTCTCTCCAAATTGACATTGTACGACTTGACCAATCTAGCTTCCGCCTCATCCCTTGCACAATCAACTCCTTTGTTTGCAGCAGAATACTCCATAACAACTCCTTAGTCCCTTAACCTACTAGCGAAAAAGAAGAGTTCATAAAGTACTGAGCCTTATAAATTTCTCCCACCAAGGTGTTTGGTCGGGAGATTAATCTCCACAATTGCTTTCCCAATATCGCTAGATTGAACTCACGTAGAGACCTATACCCCAACCCTCCTTTTTGTTTAGGTCTACATAAATATTGTCAATTCCTCTAACGAATTTATGTGCCCGTTTGATCATTACCCAATCACCAATAACCTTTCATAATTCTTTCGATCTCTGAACACATCAACTTTGGTAATATGAAAAAACATTCATCACATAGGTAGGCATAGCATGGATAACGATTTTCAACAATATCTCATGTCCCGCCTTAGATAGAAATCTATTAAGCAGTCCAATATGCCCATCTTCTTATGCCCTATCAGCGAGGATAAACCAAGATAACAGATATTAGCTCCTTCACAAGATACCCCAAATAGTTACAAGCAGTAGTTTGGTTCACCTCATTTAGATTGGCACTAAAATTAATATAAGATTTAGTGTAATTCACCTTCTCCCCCGACCCAATTTCAAAAATTTGTAACAGATTTTCACCTTTCCACACTCTCTCCCATTAGCCAGGAAGAAAAGGTAACTATCATTAGTGAAGAATAAACGGGAACCTCTCGTGCCTTTTTTGCCACTACAATCCCCAACGGCACTTTAGTCCTTTGACAACGAGAATAAAAAGTTAAGGGGATAGAAGATCCCCTTGTCTCAACCCTCTTTGAGGAATAATAGACCCAACCGTGCCACCATCAAAAGGGATGCGGTACTCAAGAATCTTTCAAGCAACCTTCATTTTATCAACCAAAGTTTTTGCAAAAAATTATAAGCCATGTTACACAGTGCTATAAGTCTTCAATCAGCCAAAGAATCCGCTCTACCTTCTTAGGAATTAGCACTAGATTAGCCATATTTAACTCCCTCGGAATACAATCCTCTGACATCATGCTTTGACAAGAGCTCACAATATCCCCTCCTAAAATGTCCTAGTAATATTGAAAAAATTTAAGATTCAGCCCGTCTGGACCGAACACTTTATCTGGATGCATGGCAAAGGTTGCCTTTTTTACTTTAAGAAACGAAATATTCTTCATCAGATCTGAGTTTTGATCTAAAGTCACAGTTGATAATCGAGCAAACAAATCAGAGCTAATATTACTAAAAGTCGAAGTAAACAAGTCACTTAAATAGTTTTCAACCAACACACTTACCTTATTTTTGTCAGCTACCCATTCCCCATTCGGTAGCCGCAATCACTTTATATTGTTGTACAAATTTCACATCCCTTGTATATACTAGATTAATTTTTCAAAAATGCTCTTTGTACACCTTCTTATACACATTACTACACACTATATATACTCCTAAATGTTTTTACCCCTCTCACACCCTTTACCCCTTCCCCACTTATCTCTCCTCTCTCCCCCCTTCGACGCCATTCCTTTCCCTTCTTTCTCTTTTCTTCCTTTTCGTTCAATTCTTTCTCTTTTCTTCAACTTTAAGAGCTCTCAAGAGGTCTCAAGTGGTATAGAAATTTTCATCAACTACTTCTTCGATTGTGGATTTAATTTTCTTCTCCCAAAGCCTTGTTCATATAAGGTATTTATTCCATTTGTTGTGTATTTTGGGTCACAATTATTTCTGTTTCTTCTTACTTTATGTATATGATATACAGAGTATGTTATAATGTTGAATGTTTATTTACACTGTTATATACTTATAGATATGTGATGTTAATAATTTAATTTTTTTGTTCAAATATTCTATTTCACTTTTTTGCTCATAAGGTGTTTGTTGTAATGCTTCAATGATTTTATTTATTTATATACACGATTTTGGAAGTTCATTCTCCTTTTTTGCTAATATGCTTTTATACTTGATGGATTTTAAAAGTTCTTTTTTGTTGCAGGTTTCTTCAAATAAGCTAAAGCCTAAAGAGTGGGTGACTGGAATTTTATTTTTTGCAGATAAACTTCTAATTATTAGTTGCTACTAGCTAGATTGCTTCAAAAAGGAGCTACGGCCTTGCACCTATAAAACCTGTGAACTTGGCAGCAATAAATCACCTGTAAAGTTGATTCTTATAGTTCACCATAGAGTTTTCAAACGTTAAAGAGGGAAAATGGTGAATTGACTGAGCAAGTGAAGCAATTGAAGTTTGGCAGGGCATGAAAAACTATGACTAGAGGAGAATCTTGTGCTCAATGCTCAAGTAATTTGGTGATAAAATAGCAAGAGGAGAAAAATTATTTGAAATGAATATGCAAAAACCAAAAGAGAATAAAAAAGCACTCAAGGCTGAATTGGTGGTGCTTCTAGCCTTCTAGGTGAGTTAGAAAAAATGAAAGTCAGACATGTATCAGAAATGAAGATTGAAAGTGAAGTAGCTAGATTTATAGTACTTAGCTAGGTCTCATTTGATGTATATGTATCAATTGTATCAGTTGGTTTACTTGTCAATAAAATGTATTGAGTAGTATGTCAACTAGTTTATGGTTTATTTTTGAAGTGTTGCTTCTAAGATGGTTAGAAAATATTGATGCTCATTAAGAGAATGTCAGAAATTGAAACTGTCTTTGCGTTCATTTATATTGTGTGTGCATGATTAAAACATTGTTCATTTGTAAAAAACTATTGTTTATGTGTTTGTTTATATTGTTTGTACATGATTAAATATTGTCTGTGTCCATTTATTTTGTCAGTGGATAGAAAATAATTGTCTGGGCATTCATTTATATTGTCTGTGCATGGTTTAAATATTGCCTGTGTGCTCATTTGTTTTGTCTGTGCGAAGAAAGTAATTGTCTGTGTGTTTCCTTATATTGTTTGTGCATAGTTAAATTATTGTTTGTGTGTTCATTTATTTTGTATGTGTGTAATAAATAATTGTCTATGTTCATTTAAATTGTCTGTCACTAATTCATACTCATAATATGATTCGCTTATCCATAGTACGCAACTAGTGAGTTGGCTTGTCAAAGAATGACAAAAATAAATCATGTTGACATACATGAGACTAAAATTGAAAACTACCAACTACTCATACTTATTATTATATGGGACTTGCACTAAGGCAAAATAATCCCCCAAAGTCCCAAACACAACTAGTTATGATTATGTGGACTTGCACAAAAGCAAGACAATTACCAACAAAACAAAATAATACAAAAAGCAAAGATTACACCTTCACAAGCTAAGGTACACCACACTTTCAAGTTAAACTTTACATGAAACTAAATCAACTTCCTCAATCGTAGGACCACCTGCACTAGTAGCACTACCACCACCGAAACCAGCAGTACCACCATCCATATGAGAGGGCCAACACCACCTTGGTACATCTAAGTAATGATGTGATTACAAATACTCTCAAGTTCCTTAAACTTGTCTGCAAATTTATCAACCTCCACAAGTTGGTTGTATCAACCTCCACAAGTTACAAATAGCCTGTTCAACAACACCCTCAATTTTCTTCTTATCTTCTACCGGCAGCTAGGAGCCACATCCACAACCGGCAAGCACACTAACCATTAACCACTTCATAAAATTACAAAAAGTCAAGAACAATTTACTAAAATCCCCCCAAGTAAATCCCAGACTTTTACTCAACGATCTCTCTTGCCAATAAAAATCAGCTCAATATGCAACATATGCTGTATTTGTATTATTCAAGAACCTCCCTCCCTGCTGGGCATTTGTATTTCCTTGTATATTCTATGGCAACAACATATGAGAAGGGAAACCCCAATGAGAAATGTACTCCTGGTATGTGAGGGAAGAATTATGCAGCATTGCCCTTTCATGTGAAACAATTGTATATCAATTACAGGGTTTCTTAGCAATGGAAATTGTATAAAATATTTCATTCCTTACTTCCTGTGAAATAATTTGATCACATAATAATGAAAGCATTTACCCATGGATGTATATAAGTATATTCCTTCTTTTGACCATCTAGGCTATTGCATCTTACATTCTTACTGTTTCAAGAAAATCAGAGCATCAAGTTGAGATAACTGCCACTAGAAGATAAGAGAAAAAAGATAAGAAAAAAAGAAGAGTAAAAGTCTTGGATTTAATATTACTAAAAGTCATGAATCTTCAACTAATTAACAAAAAAAAGAGTGAAAATCATGGATTTAAACAAAAAAAAAAATCATTGAGTCATTTCAACAAACATGCTATAGGCATAAATGTGAAATAAGACAATTGAACTAAAATTTCAATATCTCACACTACACCCTCTTACAATAATGCAATGTACTCAACTATTAAGCATTATACCATACATAATATACAAAAAAAACAGAAATTTTAAATAAATAAAACCTAAAATACACGAAGAAAAATCAAAGTATACCCCAATATTAAGGGCTGGTTGATTGAAGCTCCTTGTTCGAGCAGCGAAATCGACTGTATAATCCTCTCCGTCGCATTGATTCCAGCTGCAACCAGGACGTTTGAGTTGGACTCAGATTTTACGAGGATGGACGTAAAGGCTGAAACGGCTGACCCGTTGTGCGGGTCCAAGAAGAAACAAAAGCAGAAGAATGAAGAGAAAGGAAATGAAGAGGGGAAAGAACAAAGGGAGAAGAGGGAGGTTGGGAGACTATCGTAAAAGAAGTGAGGGAGAAGAGGGAGAGAGAAGTGTAAAAGCAAAAGGAAGAAGGTAAAAAAATAAAATCCTTTTATAGTGTGTACTGATGTGTAGAATAAGTGTGTACAAAGAGACTTTTTGTTAATTTTTTATGCAGATGGCTCTATCATGCCATATTAGTGATCTGACCCGTTATTTCTCTATATATACACCTTATGGGATACTTCACTCATTATACACATTGTTTCCTTCTTCATTCCTTGTTGATCTCTCTTCACAATTATCCATCAAATTGTGTTCTAGTAGAGAGATTCGAACACAATGGAGTGAGATCCCTTCAAAATAAACAAAAAATCTTCCCAATCACAAAAATCAAGAAATTGTTCTGAACAATTTAAAAAAAATCTGGAAGGGTGCAGATCTGATCTGAATCAGTTCCGGCCAGATCGGAACTGGCCGGTCAACCGGAGCAGCTCAAAGTCAGAGGGAGGAAGCAGATCCGACCCAGTCCGGCAACTAGCAGCTCCTTCCTCGTCTGCCGAGGTGGGACCGCCTCTGTTAGCTCATTCATTCGCCTCTCGCCTTCTCCAGCCATAACCCTCTCTAGCTTCACGAACTGTGTCCGCCATTAATGGTCGCTAGGAAGCTCTGTTCTCGAACCACAAGCGAACGTGAAGATATCGTGGGCCGTTGCTGCTAAACAACTGGAACTACCTCCGATAAACATAGCTTGAGGAGCCTACTTGTCAAGGACGTCCCATTTTCGAGCTCCGCCGCGAGGAGAGCTCTTAGTCGCAACCAGAGATTTTCTACAACCCATGCTGACAACGACAACGACTGAGGACCTGTCTGGGCCTCCCCTCTCCGGTCGGAAAGCGGCGACCTCTTTTTTCGCCCTTGCTGACGGAGACCGTACGTGACGAGCGGCCAGCTGCGACCAGATCCGTGTCCCCCTTTCCGGCGGCCGCGATAAGAAAAGCTGGTTCCGCCGTGTGACCAGCCGACATCATTTGCAAAAGAGCCTGGGCCGAGGACTTCAGTTGACTCAGTCAACAATTAAAAGTCCCGCTGGATTCTTTGGGCTAAGAGAGAAGAAGTGGGCCAGGCCATGTATGGTCCAATTAAATAGTTCAACGGACCTCAATTTCAGTAACATATTTCAGCCCAGGTAGTCCAATATTTCAGCCCACTCCAAAAAGCTAAGTACTCCAATTTTTATTTGCGGCCTCCCAGTCAACTTTCTAATTTTTATACTCCGTATGTGGTAGTATTTAATACTATCTCCGTCCAAGTAGACTTTGCCAAATGCAAATTATGTGAGAAATAAGAATAGTAAAAATTGTGTGGTTGAAATTTGTGCAGAAGGGAGTCCAATATTTCTCACCTAATTAGTTGCTTAATAGGAAAGTGGCAAAGTTTTTTGGAACAAGTAAAAAAAGAAAATTAACAAAGTCCAATAGGATGGAGGATGGAGGGAGTAATTAGTTTTATTAACTTGTATACACGTTAGGTTGTCGATTTTGTATAACTTGTATGATGTTATTATTGTTTTTTTGACAGTATATGATGTTATTATTGTTAGTCGCTAATGGCTTGTTATAATCTTTTATAGATGCTGGAAGAGACGGTTGGAGGTTGTGCATGAGATTGCTGAAATTGTAGCACTTGTTGCTAAAGGCAATATTTATCCCCACCAGACACCAGTTGCTGAAAATTTGTGTCTATAAGGGTTTTTTTATTGGTTGCGCGTGTCAGCAACAAGCAGGGGCGTATTGGGCCTATGGCCAGGGAAGGCCAAGGCCCAATGCTCGAATTTTAAAAAATGTTAAGGTCCGTTAGTCCATTCATCCGTTGCACGGATCCGGCGTCTCTGCCTTGGTTAAGCAGCCAAGGAGGGTGCCTGGCTGTTTTCATCCATCAGATCAAAAAATGAAGGGTTGAAGATGAAGGGCTCCATTTTTTGCACGAATCTCGAGGCCTACTTTTCAATCTGTGCCGTCCATTTGAGTAAGGCACCTCTGCCTTAAGGCAGAGGATCCCAATCCATCCGTTGCACTCCACACGAGTCTCTCCTAGCGTTCTAGGCCTCTAGCGAAGCCCATAATTGGAAAATGGCTCAAAATCAGAAAATCCCAAGTTAGCAGGGGAAGAGGTAGCAGCCTAGCAGTCCGCATCTTTCCGCTTCGGCAAAACCCCCCCAAAGGCCACGTCCCAATTTCCAACCTAGCAATCCTCGTCGATCGTAAGTCGCTGCCTTTCTGGTCGCACGCAACACTCGGACGGCGCACAACGGTAATGAGTGTTTTGGTTTCCGGCGTTCTGCTCTAATTGAGAGGCGCGAGAGCTGCTCTTCAGTGGTAAGGTGAGGCCTGAGATTCCGAGAACTGCCTAAGTCATGGCGAAGTGGCTAAGATGTAAGTTTTCAATTCTTTAGTTTTATTGAGCTTTTGATTTAATTTAATTAAAGATTAAATTACATCTTGCTACTTATGAATTTGATTATTATTTGTAAACTTGCTTATTATGAATTTGATTATTATTTGTAAACTTGTAATCATCATTTATAAAATTACAGTAATTTGGTTGTGCTTTGTTATTATTAATCTATTATTAAGTTAATTAGTATTAATGTATTAATTAGTCATCATATTATTTTCAATAAAGTTAATGAAGAGACCCTGTTGAAGTAGGACAAGGTGTTTCCTTTAGTTGAAAGAGTATTTTCAGCAATGACTATTCTGAAGAATAGGTTGAGCAATCCAATGAGTGATGACTGGCTCAGTGATGGACTTATTGTTTATGTAGAAAAAAACATCTTCTTGAAAATTGACAATGGTGTCATTATCAAATGACATCAATCGATGAAAACACGTAGAGAACAGTGGTAAAATTGTGGTGTTTTTGTACTTGACTTTGATGAAAACTCTTATTCTTATAATGTTTATTTTTGTCTTTGATTTTGTTGTCACAATAGATTTTTTTCCATATTTAATTAAATTTTGCCCACCCTGGATGCCAAAGCTAGATCCGTCCCTGGTAACAAAGTTTGATGAACATCCTTTTCTTTGATGTATTTTTCCCTCGTCATTTAATCACATTACAATGTTTGATTCCTGATACATTGATTGATATTTTATTGCTGTAGATGAGTTAGACGCATAGTAACACTCAATAACCAGAGTACAAATGAAGATGGTACTAAATTCTGCTCTTAAAGTATATATAGAGTGTATGATTGATATTTTATTGCTGTAGATGAGTTAGACGCATAGTAACACTCAATTGCCTTCCAACAACGCCGACTCTTATCGCCGGAAAAGAATGTCAAGTTGAGAACAATGTCATCGTGATGGCAATTTTAAACTTTTTTTTTGGATATTTTCAATTAGTAAAAATGTCATCTTCATTATATTTTCAGAGAAATGTGGCATTTTTACACAAGATGACATTTCCCCCTGACGATTAGAGCTAAAGGTGGTGGGAGGTGGAAGATGTGGTGGCAGTGGCCTACATATTTTTTTTAATATTTTTTAGGCATTTTATTTACACTTTTTTAAGGTTTTTGTATTTTTTTTTAATTTTACTTTGACCCTCGTGCTCCTTTCCATCATTTGCAATGGAGCCAAATATTCATTATTTTTTGGGTTGAGAATATGATGGAATAAAGCAAAATGACTCATTAAACTGTGTGCGCTTCTTTGTTATGAAGCAGCAGTCAGTCCATGCAATTTTGGACATGATTTTCACTATGGGTCATCCGGAAACAGTTTCTCTGTGCTTTAGTATAAGGGTAAGACTACGTACATCCAACCCCCCTTACCCCACCGTAGGTGGGAGCTTTTGCGGCACTAGGGTAAATGAAAATGAAAATGAAATGATTTGACCCTTGTGCTCGTCGTAATCCTTGCGGACCCATGTGTTTCCAACCATCTTGAATTGAAGGGTTGCCACAATCAGTGTTTTCAATCCCAGATAGCGGAGCGGAGCGGCTAGACCCAAAAACGCTATAGCGGTATAGCGGATAGCGGGATAACCGCTATTTAAGCTACTTTTAAATATAATACATAAGTAATTACTAGAAGCATATATAATACATTACATACACATTTCAAGTTCAAAAAGTATGATATATGACAATGAAGCTTTCAAACATCCTTAACATTCCCAAATCCTAAATTACTTAGTAATACACTAATACTCTTTTAAGTCTTCAGTTTCATGACCAAAATATAAGATGATATCATGCTATAAATGATTAAAACATCTTGAATAAAAAACAAGGTTCTAGTTTAAGAGTTTGAGCCTTGATATATAAACAGTCAAAAAATTTAGATCCAACTAGCAAGCCCTTTGAATTCATCATTCACCACTCCTCCTCATCAAATTCTTCTTCTTCTTCCAACTCTATCTCATCTTCATTGTCATTTTCACTACTACTGCAATCATAAATTTCTTCTTCCACATTTGTCTGCTCTGCCACTTCAACATGCTCTATAAAGTCTATTGAGCGGTCTCTCACTCTAGAACTTGCAGCCCCTCTAGAGCTTGCAGCCCCTCTAGAGCTTGCAGCCCCTCTAGAGCTTGTACCCCTTTCATTTATTCTGCTTTGCTGCCTAGTGTTTATCAAAGGCTCACACACACCCGTTAGATCAGCAACATCTCCCCAAGTAAAGTTGGTGTCATCATCAAAAACCAAATCATCCTCGGCATCCTCTCCATCTCCCCCCATTACTCCCACTAACCACTCATTGCTATCATCAATGTCATTTAGGCGAATTGGATCAATCAAATCACGGCTATCAAATCGCTCCTTAAGATCTTGGTTATATTTAATATAAACCAAATCTTGCAACCTTTGATGCTCAAGCCTATTTCTCTTCTTCGAATGAATCTAAGTTACAAATTTATATAAAAAAAACTGTTAGTCCAGCCTCCAGTTTGTTGAAATTAGTATAAACAGTTTGTTGAACTTGTAAAACATGTAATAATAACTTAATAACATACATGCTCAAATGTACTCCAATTGCGCTCACATCCCGAGGAGCTACAAGTCAAACTTAAGATCTTTATGGCAAGCTTTTGAAGATTTGGTGTATGTGATCCATAGTTCCTCCACCATTCACCTTTAAATGCAAGTAAACATTAAACATTCTATTAGGGTGGGTGATAAAAAAAATCATATGCCTTAACTTACCTGGACCAAGAGTATCTCTTTGCCTTACTGCCAGCTTCAATCCAAAGAGACCTTCAGCTCTCTTATAAGCATTCAGCTCACTCGATATTTTATCTTCAATTTCTTCATTTTCACTAAGCCTCTCAATGCACGCGTAAAGCCCTTGCATAACCTCATTGTCCAGATCCATTCTTGGGTTCTTGTAGTAGAAAGAAGGGTTCAAATAATGACCAGCAGCATGCAAGGGATGATGGAGTTGAGTTTCCCATCTTAAATCAATAATTTCAAATATTTTTTTGTATCTCCTTTCATTCCCTTGAAAAGAACCCTGGATTGCTTCCTTGGCACGATCCATTGCTTCATAAATGTATCCCATTGCGGGTTTTTTTTCATGATCAGCCAGCCTTAGAACGCGTACAAGAGGACCCATCACTTTCAAAATGTAAACAACATCATTCCAAAATGTAGGATTAAGAATTATGTCCAGTACTCTCTTTGCATTTCGATCTTTGGAAACATTAGTGTTTTTATATTCATCGGAAGTAAACATGTTTCTAAGCTTCCCTCTTTGAGTATGCAGCCGTTGCAAGGTAAGGAATGACGTAGCGAACCTTGTAATACCACGTCTAAGCAATTCCATCTTGTTGGTGAACTTTCTCATCATGTTGAGAGCAATGGTATGGTTGTAGATGAAACCCACCACACAAATACCTTTTCTTATTGTTGTTTTAATTGTGGGCAACTTCCCAATGTCCTCAAGCATTAAATCTATGCAATGAGCAGCGCATGGAGTCCAAAATAAATGCTTTCTCTTCACTTGTAGCAGTTTTCCTAAAACATAAATCACTGAACTCAGCTGGGGCAGCATACTCACATAACTAAAATTCAGAATATTAAATTATAAATAAAGTCATATTGAAGTAATTGAACTAATAAATATTACCCGCAAGAACATAGTTACTTCCATTGTCGGTGATCACTTGCACCACATTTTCTTCTCCAATTGTCTCAACAAATTGATCAAGAAGCTCAAATAATTTCTCACCAGTTTTTGTGTATTCAGAACCATCAACACTCTTCACAAACATTGACCCCCTTGGGCAGTTCACCAAAAAATTAATCAATGTTCTATTTTTCCTATCTGACCATCCATCGGACATAATTGAGCATCCATATTGTGCACGTTCTTCTTCGTGGCCCTTTAACAGTCCTTTAGTGTACTCCAATTCTTTTTTAAGAAGTGGAACTCTACACTCATGATAGCTTGGGGGCTTTAAATGAGGACCATAATTTCCAATAGCCTCAACCATCAATTTGAAACTTTTTGATTTCACAACATTAAAAGCGATTCCATTTGTGCATAGAAATCTTTCAATATATTGAATGGTTCTGGCCCTAGCTTCCTTGTCACAAGCATCATTTATGCTTGTTTGCCTCTTAGCTTTTCCCAAGCTTATTGTGTTTTCTGGTTTCTTATAGTAAAGCAAGTCCAAGGGTCCTTTGACCTTTTTGGCAGAACGATGAGAGGACTCAGTTGCTGCAGTTAGGGGTCTTTTTCCTCTTCTAATATTCAGAATTTCATTAAGGTCTTCCATGTCATCTTCATCTTCTTGCAACTCCATGTATGCTTCTTTTTCCCCCTTTTTTTTCTCATATGCTTCTTTCAGGAAGATTGTAACATCAGCTGGAGTTTTCCTGCAAGCCCCAACATCTCCTCTCATTCCCATTTGGTGCCTTTTGGCTCTGGTAATTCCTCCAGTAGTAGTTTTGCCACAAAAATCACAAGTAACAGATTTCTTGTCTTTGGCATCTCTCAGACTGTTCCACTTCCAAGCTGGGTCAAGATGTTCTCCTGTGGGCTTAAACAACACAGTAGACTGACTAGACTCCATAAGAAGAAGAGAAGAGTGCAGCTCTGCAGCAAAGGTTGGAGAAGAATAGTTGCAGCAAAGGTTGGAGAAGAATAGTTGCAGCAAATATATTACTGAAGGCAGATGAGAGCAGCAGGTGTCGTTCTTGGAAGTGAGGCCATCGCAGAGCAGAAGAAAAAGATGATGGTCGTTAGAGCCATCGCAGAGGTGCAACGGACTATTTTCAAAACCTGGGCACCTGGGCTTCGATTTTAGCTTTTGGTATCCTTTAACTTACGTCTGAGCCTTTAACTAGGTTAATATTTTCTTTTAAAAGTCTATTTTACCCCTCTATGTCAGCGTTAAAAATTTTAACGCTAAAAAACTGGGCCGCAGTACTCTTTAGAACAAAAAGCGCCGCGTTAGCGGCCGCTATTACCTTCTGCGCATCCCTGCGATCGCGGCCGCTTAGAACGCAACTCCCAAACGCCACGCGAGACCCCTCCTCATCGCGCCTAACAGGTATGCCGCTCCGCTTTTCCGCTATTGCGCGCTAACGCGCCGCGATTCACAACACTGGCCACAATAGTAATCCTTATAGGAAATTTGACGCAGAAGTGTGTAAAACTTTTTCATCGCCTAATGGATGAAGTAGCCAATGAAAAAAATCATTGTTGCAAACTGCCAATGAAAAAATCATATATCTTCTCATAATTATTATCTAATACGTACAGAATCAAGAAAAAAGAAAAACAACATAAAACAGACATCATTATGTGATTTTGGATGTGACATGTTTTAAGAAAAAAAAATTAATTACTAGTCCATTATGTATACACAATAATATTTAATAAACATTTTATTTAATAAAAAAACAAAAGTTTATCACCTTTTCCCGTAATAATGTACTAGAAACTCGCCAATTATTAGTATTAGTCTTCTCATCATCAAGGAATTAAATGGCCTTAAAAATGAGAAGTAGAATATTACATAAACTCCAAAAGGAATTGGTTGGCATAAAAAATAAACTTTCTGAAAGCATTTCATGTGTGCAACTACAAAAAGGAACATTGGAATATTATATACTCCCTCCGGTTCTTTATGAAGTTTACACTTTGACTCCACTCATTTTAAAAAAATAAATTTGACTTTACTGTAGAGTACATTGTTGTGACACTGTTTGACACTGTTTTGCATTGTTTGGTGTAGATTTGTTTGCCAAATAAAGCAAATAAGAAAGTGTAAAGTTTAATATGGGACTGCCCAAAAAGAAAAGTGTAAATTTCATTAAGAACCGGAGGAAATAATTATATTATATTCATATAATTATATGAATTCATGCATCTTATTTCATACGTAGCACTTGTTTTGAATACAAATTTAGAAGAGTAATTTGAAATAAAGAAAGCACATAGAAGATCATTGTTGACCTCATCTATATGTTGAGTTGTAGTGTTTGTGAACATTTAGAATCTCATCCTCCCAATCCTCATCCGTAAGAGTACTTCCACATAGCACAGGAAGTAGAGGAAAGCGTTGAATGAAAAAATCATAAACCTTCTCATAACTACCACCTTAGACGTGCCGACATTAATAGAAAAGAAAAACAATATTAAACAGAAATCATTATGTGAATTTGGATATAACATACTTCAACAAAAAAATTGAAATACTAGTCTATTAGGTATAGACAATAATATTTAGTAAGCATTTCATATGGTAAAAAAAACAATTGTGATTTACCATTAAGCATTTCATATTTATAATGAATTGTTAAAGCAATTTATTGATGATATGTAACACTTCCCTTGAATATATATTTAGTCATTTCACTCCTATGTCTCCAAATATGTTTACAATAAAATTGCAGGCAATCAGAAAAATACAGTAAGAAAGGGAATTTCGTGTCTAGAAGTCTTGCAAACTGTTTTTGTCTTGACGTTTGTTACAATATGAACTTACTATATAGGATAATTACATCATGTCATTATAAATGAAAAGCATAAGTATCTCACTTAAGATTGAAGTATAAATAGGTAATGATGGTTATACCACTTTATCATCCTGAGCATGCTCAACTTTATTTCTGAAGAGCATTACAAGATTTGTCGTATCACCCTTGTTCCCTATGACGTCAAGTTGCTCGTTCGTAAACAACAAAAAAAATTTCATTTGTGTCTCGATCCTTTATTGTATTCCAATAATTAATGAAATCTTCACTCTTTCCAATAATTAGACTCAAACTAATTTTGAGAAAAAGAAAAAGTGGTTCATTACACTTCTCATGTGGCTTATATTCGGATACGATAGTACTCCTATGATCTCTTCCTCATTGGACATTATATTAATTTTCAATTCTTAATTATATAGCAATTAAGAACAATCTTTCTAAAGTTGATTATTCATGTCGCAAACAGAGCAAATTATTGTTATATTGAAGTAGGAAAGAGCAAACAATTGTGTAAGGCAGTCGTGTAGTACATATTTTCTATAGTTACAAATATTGTAAATGTCAATCATCTGCCGCCAAACATTGTTTTCATACATTGCATATGTTTTCCATGAGAGTGAATGTTATTTAACTCGAATACTATATATCATGCAAGTATTTTTTATACACATCATGCTATAAACTACATGAACCCTCAATCCGTGGTAACTTGTCCGCATTTAGAAAGTTGTTATGTAGCAGATTGAGACAAATCCACATTCAAAGAATTGATCGAGAGTTCTTAAGTGTTTCACTTGTTGCTGTGTTATCATGTATCTTGTTATCTAGCAGACTTGAGCAACCTCTAGATTAAAAGAATTTATCGAGAGTTTCTAAGTGCTTTAGATGTTCTCGTGTTATCATGTGTCACAAGTGGCTATATCTCTAATTAGTCATCTTTTACTTTACATTTTTGGTATAGGTTTTGCTATTTCCTACTGCAATATAGGGTGAACCATCCTACATTTCAGTAGAGAAAAGCAGGACTAAATTAAAATTGTAAGGTAAAAGATGAAAGATAAGAGGTATAGTGACTTGTGACACATGATAGCACGCCAACAAATAAAACATTAATGAACTCTCAATCAATTCTTTTATTTTGAATTTGTCTCAAGTCATGTATATAACATGACACATGATGACACAACAACAAGTAAAGCACTTAGGATTCTAGATCAATTAATTGAATTTGGATTTATCTCAAATCTGCTACGTAACAACCTTTTAAATGCGGACGAGGTAGCATGTAGTGAGTGTTAATGTAGGTTATCATGTGGTGTGTGTAGAAGAATCTTGCATAATATAATAATCGAGTTCAACAACATTCATTTCCACAGAAAACCATACACAGTTTATAAATTGTTTGGCGGCAGAAGATTTAGATTTACAAGATCTGTATCTTTAGAAGATCTGCTCTACGTGATCGACATACACATTTGTGCCCCCCTCAATATAACAATAATCCGGTTTGCTTTCGACATGACATAATTGACTTTAAAAAGATTATTCTTAACTACTGTATAATCGAATAATTGAAAATGAATCTGATTCCTAATGAGAAAGATATTATAGGGGTACAATTGGATCCGAATATACTCTACATAGGAAGTGTAATTAATCACTTTTTCATTTTCTCAAAATTAGCTTGAGTTCATTATTTGTGTGCCTTCAGATAGGAAGTTCATTTATAAAGATGCAAATGAGTTTGACATTTGTACGAGGTTTGAGAAGAGTCTTCTCTAATTATTGGGATAAGATAAAGGAGCAAGACACAAATAATTTTTTTTGTATTTACAAATAAATAACTTAATGTCATAGAAAACAAGAGTGATACGAGAAGTCGTGTGGTGCTTTTCAGAAATAAAGTTGAGCATGGTCGGAACGATAAAGAGTTATAAATGTCCGTATCTATTTATACTTCAATCTTAAGTGAGATACTCTTGTTTTTTATTAGTAATACCTTGATGTGATTACTCTATAGAGTAAATCATTCCGTAACAAACGTCAAGATAAAATAGGTTTGCAAGATTCCTAGACACATATTTCCTTTTCTTAATAATGTCTTTTTCTAATTGGTTGCAATTTTGTTGTAAACATATATTGAGACATATCAGTGAATGGACTAAATATATATTCAAAGGAAATGCGATATATCATAAATGAATTACTTTAACATTTCATTATAAATATGAAATACATAACGATATATCCCAATTGTTTTTTATTAAATGAAATGTTAATTAAATATTATTGTTTATACTTAATGGACTTGTAGATTCAATTTTTTTGTTGAAGTATGTTACATCCAAATTCATGTAAGGATTTCTGTTTATATTGTTTTTCTTTTCTTTTAATGTCAGCACATCTAAGGTGGTAGTTATGAGAAGGATTATGATTTTTTCATTCAGCGTTTTCCTCTACTTCCTGTGATATGTGCAAGTATTCTTACGAATGAAGATTGGGAGGATGAGATCCTGAGTGATCACAAACACTACAACTCAACATATAGATGAGGTTAGCTATGATCTTCTATGTGTTTTCTTTATTTAAAATTACTCTTCTACATATGTATTCAAAAGAAGTGCTAAATATGAAATATTATCCATGAATTCATATAATATATGTATATACTATATTCTAGTGTTCCTTTTTGTAGCTGCACACAGAAAATGCTTTCAGAAAGTTTATTTGAGTTCGTGTTGACAATTTCAGTGCTCCATTGCTGTTTTTTATGCCAATCAATTCCTTTTTGCGTTTATGTAATATTTCAGTGCTGTTTTTTTATGCCATTCAATTTCTTGCTGATGAGAAGACTAATACTCATAATTGGCGAGTTTCTAGTGCATTGTTACGGGAAGAGGTGATAAACTCTTGTGGCACAGAGGGTATAAGTGCTACGATTGAATCTGCAGAAAAAAGGTTAAAGGAACCTCAGAAAGAGAAGATTACTGGGATCACGGGTTGGTGGAGAGTGCGGGAAGCTACCGTCTTTGCTTTTTCTAGTGTCAAAGTAGCTACTTGTAACAGAAGTTTCTGGAAATTGTGGTGGTACTCTAAGAATGATTTTGGAGAAAATTCTTGTAGAACACATTGCAATAGGGTTTGATGAAGATCCTTTTCTTTATGCTCTTATGTTTTTAACCGTTGCTAAGTTTTCTTTTGATCAACCGGGGGATTAATGAGCAGTTTGTGTATTCGGCTGTAAAGGCAATTGATAGGGATGTGCCTCTGTAAAACCAGATGCTAGTCGAGAACTTTCACAGCTTGTAACTGCAGACCTCAGGAGTCATTTGGCCACATCCAGGACTCAATTTCATCGCTCACCAAGTGACTGAAGCATACACCTGATGTGCATTTTGGGTGCTTGAGACACTAAGGCTGCTGTCAGGACAGACCCTTTTGCCAAAATTTATGTTCTAGAAGTTTTAGAGGCAATAAAAACAGCTCCTGGTTGCATCCAGCCTTTGATTTCTTGAATTTTACCTTATGTTGGACATGTGCAGTTGTAAATCACATTATTGACAATGTTGTTGAAGGATGCATCGGTTGATGTCACCAAAGCTATTGGGGAAGTTTCTTTTGATCTTGTTATCAGGATAATCTTCCAAGGCGTTGATCACAACGAGATGCAGGAAATGGGATAGAGTGGAAATCAAAATGTGAAGGAAGTGATGATGAAGGTTCAAGCCATGCAGCTCATGGTCTAAGGATGATGAGACCCGAAATTTCACAAATACTACAGCTCAACATACATATGAGGTTAGCAATGATCTTTTCCAGGATTTTCTTTATTGAAAGTACTCTACTAGTTATATATTCAACGGAAGTGCTATATATGATCAATGAATTCATATAGTTTTATAATGCAAAATGATAAATTCTAAGTGTTTTTGAACAATATGAAATGCTTTCTAAATATTATTGTTTATACGTGGTTTAAATTTTTGTTCAAGTATGTCATATCCAAATCCAAATTCGCATAATGATATGTGTTTTATGTTGGTTTTCTATTTTCTTGATGTCAGCGCGTAATAGGTGATGGTTGGGAAAGATTTATGATTTTTCATTAGCCGTTTTCGTCAACTTCCAGTGGCATTTACAAGTATTCTCACGGATGATGATTGGAATGGTGATATCCTAAGTACACAAATACTAAAACTCAACACATAGGTGAAGTTTACAATGATCTTCTGTGTTTTCTTTATTTAAAAGTACTCTACTATTAAAGAGATATTATGTTTTCCAGATAATGCAGGTGCCTAGTTTTTTTGAAAAGGGATGTGCCACAGTGAGGAACGTTTTATAGCAGAAACAAGAACACCAACAATCAACTGGTGGTGGTGGTTGCTTGTGCAATACATGACACATAATTTGACTCTTAAGCACATTTTCATATTTAACCATCATTTGAGAAACACTGCAGTTTGAAGACCATTAGTGACTGGTAATTTTTTTTTATTGCTGTAACTAATTGTATTTTGGGAAGTCAGATAGAACTAAATTTACAAGTACTCTAAAGAGGCAAAGTCTTTATAGGCTCAAGCACCTTCAGATAATATAACAATTCCCATGTAAAATGAGACAAATATTTAGCATATGAAGTAAACAGATTAGGAAAAATGACACTGAAAACAATTAATTGGTAAGACTAGGGAATACTATAAAATAGGCCCCGTACTATAGAAAAAATGTCGAGTAGGTCCCTGTACTTACAAAACACCCTATTGAGCGTTTTAGCCAGCTGGAATTAGGTTTCTCAGTTATCAGCCTGTATGGCGGCATGCGTGACATTTTTTGTTTTTCCTTTTTTTTCTTTTTTCTTTTTTCTATTCTCCTTTTTTGTTTCGTCTTTCTTTCACACTCTCAGTGAGGAATTCAAGGTTTGCCCCCACTCTTGAGGACTCCGGGCGCCACCTCTGGGGATGGTGCGGTGTCCATCTCTGGGGGACCGCAGCCGCCACCGTTGGAGTCGGAGTTTGTGGCCATCCCCAAATTCCTGGAGTGAAGTGAAGGACGCCGATGGAGTGAAGTTTGGTGGCAGGAGGCTTAGTTTAAAAAAGCGCGCCTGAGGCGCGCAAAGGCGCGAGGCGCAGAGGGGCGACATGTTTGTCGCATTTAACTCACCCAGGCGGCTCAGGTTCCTAGAGGCGTGCGCTTTTCACGCTTTTTAGCGCCTTTTGCGCTACTCAGAGGCGAGCGCTTTTCACGCCTCAGGGAAGCCGATGAAATTCTCTGCCGATTCCAATTTCATTTTTTTTGGCGATTCAGACCTCCTTTCCGTTTCCGATGTATCTCCCGTTTGAAGCTTACGACTTTTTTTCGCTGCTAGTGTCTCGCGTCTCAGAGGTAGTAAACGAGTCTATTTACTTTTTTTTTCTGCTGCTATTTATTCTCTTTTATTTTAAGTTGTTATATTTATAAAAATATTAAATTATTTAAATAAAAAGTTAGATAACTGATACATACGTAGTATTATCTTTCGCTATTTATTAGTGTTGATAGATAACTGAAAAAAAGTTCAAGACTTTTAAGTTTGTAAGTTTTTTAAGTATTTTAAGTTTTTAAATTTATAAAATTATTTAAATTATTTAAATTTACAAATCTGTCCGTAATTAATTTTACAGATTTGAATTTGTGTGATAGTTTATTGATTAAATGTGTATTATTTTATAGTTTATTAGTTTATTACATATTACTATATCATAATACTATATAATAATATTGTAGTGTTAGAACACTGGTTTATTAACAATTTTTTAACAATTGTATATTGTTTTACACTGGTATATTCAAGCATGTTATACACTGGCAGGGAATCAGATTATCAGACTTATTAACAATATACAATTTGGAATCAGACTATATTGTAGTTTTAACAAATTTTTATATAACAGTTTAGTAGTTTATTACATTAATTGTTTGAATTACTAATAACAGATATAACAATTTATCACAAAATGACTATTAATTGTTTTATATATGAGGCTTATAATCAAATTGTATAATTCTTACAATTTTACTTTAATATCAAGTTTGTTAGTTCTTACTGTATTACTTCAACAATCCACAATGCATAGTTTTTGTGATTATTTCATTCAATATTAGGGTTTTTTGACTTGACTTTTGGCAATTATGCCTTTAAACATATGTTTCTTGCTTCTGTCGTATTGTCTTTAATATATATTTTGTTTCTCTGATGATGTTTATTAAGATTGTTTAATAGTTTGATTTTTGAGAAGAGTGCTTCATGTAGAAGTACTAAAAATATATTTCACCAAAAAAAATGTGCCTGAGATCCGTGAGGCGCGCGCCTCACCGCCTAGCGCCTCACGCCTCGGGTAAATTGATGAAAGCGCCTCAAGCCGCCTCGTGCCTTTTAAAACCAAGGCAGGAGGTTGCGTGATCGCTCAAGGCGGCAGTAAGGTTGGGAAGAAGTTAATGGGGGAGGGGGGGGGCAGCGTAGAAGAGAAGAAAGAAACATGGATAGAAAAGAGAAATAGAAAAAGAAGGGGAAGAAGTGAAAAAAAATGTCAAAAAAAATGTCACGTAGATCACATTCACCATGTGAGATGTTAATAGGAAACCTAATTCCAACCAACTAAAACGCTTAATTGAGTGTTTTTTAAATTCAGAAGTTCAATTGGGTGTTTTACGAGTACGAGGGCCTAATCGACATTTTAGCTAGAGTACGAGGCCTATTTGACATTTTCCCTATAAACTAAGAAAATAAAAATTTTGAATAAAATATTCTCCTCTTTTCACAAAAAAAAAGGAAATTGCGTGAAACTATGCCATCCTGGTACTCGATCGGCTATTACACAATTTCTTTACGATCTGTATGTGAAGAGAAATTTAAAACTTGCTGCGTAAGACTGTAAGATGCCACAGACCACATATATAGAATAATAAAAAGAAGACCTTTGGAGAGTTGATCATTATTGCGAAACTTAAGATACTGAACATACATTATTACAGAGTTTGTGGTTTGAAAGAATTCATTGGACCTTTTCCGTTATACGTGTCATTCCATTGTAACCTTTGGCAATTCATTCTCTTGTATCTTTGGTATATTTTGATAATAAATTAGTTATTTGATTTAAAAAAAAGACATTGAACATACTAGTACAATATAGAAAGACTGGTCAAGTTCTCTGTGAAACTTGGAAAAGAATCTGTATAACAGGGATCACCAATTCTCTTGCACAGAAAAATGAACACAAGCCAGAGAGTGAGTGCACATTAGATTGAATTATCTCCAACTTATTTTAATAATTTATGTGGAAACCCAAGTCTATTTATGGTATGTGGACCCAAGAAAGCTGAAAAGAGCAATAATCCAGCTATGGCCAAAATATAGTTAAGATTATAATCTGTTTTGACCTTCCATCGCATAACATCAAATCTTTTACCATAACTATTGCTTTTTGCCTATTTGCCAATTCTACTTGCTTAAATCAAATTTTGAGTTTGTTTCTAATGTTTTTGAGAGCCAGAAGTCTGTCTCCCAAAAAATAGACTAATTAGTATCCCGTACTTTCTCATTGCCCACTTTACTTACTTTCTTCTCACTTAGTATGTTAAAATCTGCCTCGCTCACACTACTCAGTATCAAGTTACTAAGACAAATGACTAATTGGAATCTAGAATTTCCTCTTTGCCTAATATACTTGCTTAGTTCAAATTTCCTGCTTCTCTTCTAATGTTTCAAATTTCCTGGTACTTTTCTCATTTAGCAAATTAAATCCGACTTATTCTGGCTACTCAGTAATAAAACAAATGACTACTTGGAATCTAACATTTGTTCTTTGCCTATTGTTCTTAAAGGTATTTTGTGCTCTCTTCTTACTTAAAAGAAAAAACTTTTTTTACATCAATGGGAATCAAACCATCCCTAAGTGGCCATGAAAAACGGAAATCAAAATCTTAATCAAGAACTCTAATTAATAAATTCAAAGAAAACTAAAATGGGAATCAAAACTTGAAATTTAAAACCTAACTGGAGAGAGGAGTTACTTCCGTGCTTTTGAACTCGGATTGATTCCTATGAGCGATGAAGAAGAGTTGTTGATGAATGAACAGTATGATGATGATGATGATGGAGATTATAAAAGTTGCCTCCTGAGAAGTAGGGCTTTGCTCTTCCTCGCTACTCTGATTCTGCCAAGGTGCACTAGAGACATTAGCACTTTGGCAGTATAGTCATAACAAATAGAAGGCCTGGGAAATTTACAATAATATTAGAATGACAAATTTGGAATGGTAGAATTAGAACAAGTTTTGAACTAAATGATACAATAACAATTTTTTTTTGTTATTGATATCATGTTCCGACCCCATATCTTTTGGGATTAAACCTTGGATGTTGCTGGTAAATAGCTGGCAATTTTTGTGGATATGGGACGCAGCTGGGCAAGAGAGATTTCAGAGTCTTGGAGTAAAATCTTTTCTAATTTATTGGCCAGATGAAGAAGAGGAAAATTGGTGTTGGGAGCCAGCAAAATGCCCTGTATTTACTATTGCCCTGTATTTTCTCTTCGCCGCTGAGGACAAACATTACGTCGAGGTCACAAAATGCATTGTTCTACATTTTCCAGTTCATTCGTGTGGTTTGGCTCTTCACGATTATCATCTTGATAGGTACTAGACTACAAGTGGCCATTTTAAGCCATTATTGCAGGAGATGATTATTTAATGATTGTGATTCCTGCAGGGTCTAACTAACATAGCATCTACTGTGATTGGAGAAATAGGCACCTTTACCAGAAATTGAGTTGCTTGGAATCAAGTGTTCTTGAGAGTGGACATAGTTTGTTGCTATTCGATTATCTTCACCATGGTTTGATCTATTAACCTCAAAGACAGGGGGGAAAGCAGCCAGGAACTTGGCAAAACTGACCCTTTCCAGGCAATTCTTCATTGTCTGGAAAGGGTTGTATTGTTTGCTTAACCTTTACTTCACAAGGTTTGTATTGTTTGCTTAGTGTTTATGCTTATTGTTTGCTTATAGCACCATTATTGGTGTGCCCTCCATCTTGGTGTTACTTTAGTTTGCCAGAATGACTGGGGAGGGTGTATGTACCTTTTATACATGACTATTTCTGAAATTAGTTCAGAACAACAAATCTGCCACCAAAAAGCCGATTACACTCATGACCCTTGTGTTCTACTTTACGGGTTGAGGTAAAATATACTAGGAGTAAAGGAAATTAAGGTGCGACCAAGTGCAGTTCTATTTTTTGAATCAGTACTCTCTTAGTTTTTTGGTGTGCATTTTCTGAATACGATACGACGTACTAAATAAAATACATGTTTTGGAAAAATATACTGCGTATTTGTTAAATTATTGATTATATCTGAACTTTAATGACATTCTGGAGCTTCAGAATGTCAAGTAAGCATTTCCAGATGAGCTCTGAGGGGATATAAGAAGAAAAAGAGTGCCTAATTTCTCTTGCTGCATCATGTATATGTATGGTTACTGTAGCTACAACATGAATCCAGCTGCAAGTTAAGTAATGGTTTTTGGATGTTAGATCATGGCAAATTAGCAAGTCTTACTTTCTTTGAATACTGAAATCACTTGGTTTGAGATTTGATGATCATGAATAATATTTCACATTTCTTTGCCTCTGAAGTCTGAAGTCCCTATGGGAGTTTCCTTCTTTATTAATTAAGTGAATGACTAGGTTAATTAACTCCAGTTTACGTCACATATTTCAAATTTAATGAAGAACAATAAACCTGCCAAATGACAGCCTTCTAAACCCGCCATAAAAAATTAAATGTAATATTACAAACATCTATAATGTAATGAACAATAAACCTGTCATCAAAAATAAAATGGCAGCCCCAGACCCTTTTTTACTATTTTAGGAGTAGATGTAAAATTCTGATATACCTCAGAAACAGTTTCACTCAATAAAAGAAGTTTGTTAGTAGGCGTTTTATTAACATGACTTGATGTACAAATCTACTACTTTCAGAAAGAGTTCCATTTAACATAATAATTTAAAGCTAATTCAAGGAAAGGGTATAAATTAGAAAAAAGTTGAAAGCAAAAGATCACCAAATGCAGATAGATTTGCGATAGGAAAGCCAGCTTCAAATGGGATGCTCTGAGTGAAGAGATGGATGGAACGAAGGTGCATGGACCTCATAATGAACATATCAATATCCCTTATGTTGGATAAGTTAAAAGTAATAGTAAGCAGTTCAATGGAACAGTAAGAATGAGTGTGTTTTAAACCTTTAGCAAAGCACTCCTCTGATAAATCTATTCTCCCAAGCTCCTTGGTGGTATACAATTTCTAGAGTGTCAAGTCATGAGTTGACAAGTTTCTTATTCCTAGAATCAGACTTAGAGGAATCGGGTAACTTGAAAAGGATGTCTCGAGAAGCGAATCCAGGAATGTAAGGCGGGGTGTGCTCAAGGTTTTCAATAGACGTAGCGGTAGTGGTAGCGGTAGCGGTCATTGCGGTAGCGGCAGTGGTAGCGGTAGCGGTAGCGGTCATTGCGGTAGCGGCCTGTAGCCGGCGGTTGCAGTGGCGTGAAATATATTCAATTGCGCAAAGCATATATTTAATGGGTGTTAAAGTTAATAGAAATGTTTGAACAATTATATAGAAATATATTTGTAATAGAAATATATACAAATATATATGAGCATTTGTTTGAACACTTATAACATTAACAGCGCAACTAATCAACCAATAAGAATATGACAATTTAAAGAGAATGATAATTAAAAGAATATGACAACCATAGAGATTTAATACAAATTTAGCACCTAGAGAAATAAAAAAAGGAGAAAATAAAAGAACTAGCTTGCATGAAAAAAAAGAGAATGCAGTAGCTTAGAGTATGGACTATGGAGTACACATGGAGTAACTAAATAGTACTTCTATCTAAATTTAATAATTATAAAAGTGAATAGTTACTCCTTAAAGTTAAATCATCTTTGTTAATAATAAGTTCGACTTTAGTAATTATAATTTACATATTTATTAATATTTGCCACCATAATGTATGTGGATAGATGTACATATCATTTAGTGTTTCACTCCATGTATCACTATTAATGTATTTTTTCACATCATTCACACAACATTTACACGTTTACACATCAACCAGTTCGTGATGTACTGCCGGAAATGCCAATAGCGGTCTATAGCGGGTTGTAGCGGGTTGTAGCGGCCAGCGTAGCAGATTTTTCCCGTGAATTGAAAATCACACACCAAAAGCGGACCGTAGCGGTAGCGGCCTCTACCGCGACCGCTATATAGCGGCTGCTATAGCGGTAGCGGGCTGCTATTTCAAACCCTAGGTGTGCTAAGCAGTAAAAAGTTGTTGCTCCACTCTGGGTTTAGCTTAGGGTTATTGAACCAAACTTTTTATTAATTGCGTGAGTTCGAGCTTGATATCGAATTTAATTTAACGGTCCGAGCCAAAAGAGCTTCAAACTCAAACACGAGCTAGATTTTTAATTCTAGCTGAGTTCGAGCATAGTGATGTTTGGTTCGATCCAGACTCGAGCTCATTGATCATATTTATAAATTATAAGATAGGAAGTATATATCTTCAAATGTACACATTGTTACTGCGATTTTATAAATTTAATAATGAATACTAAATTAAGTATTCGAGTATTATATTGAATGTATATCAAATGCTCACCAACAAGATAAAGAAAAGAATTGATTTCTTGCCTGACCTTTTCTACAACTAACAGCTTGCTCGGGGAAAGAATATGAATACCAAGTATAACGGTATAATCAATCAATTAGCGCTTTATGATCTCTTTCATAATGTTCGGTTATTCTTTAATCTCTCCTCCTCCTCCGCCCCTATACACCGCCGCCGGCTACTACCAGCCGGCCACCACCCCAAGCAAACTCATCAGCTTATTTTGGGTTTACTTCAATTAATTTGTACGTAGCTTATTAGCTTATTATAAATTATAAGCTAGTGGTGAATATTTGAAACCCAAAATATAATGGGTTTCATTGTTTTTGTATTCATCGGAGCTGCAATGGGCATTGGATTGGTAGCTTGTTTTGCAAGAGCTCAGAATACCAGGTCCGAAAATCGCATTGAGTTGGTATGCACCCTATCTGCAAAATAAACCATTTACGTACAAATGTTTAATTTATACACAAACACAATACGGAGTATAATTTTAACACATACGGAGTATACTTTTATATAATTGCATTTCTTATATTTTTGATGATTTATTGAAGGATTCTTCTTGTTGTACCCACTATTGTACCCACTTTTGTACCCACCATGTCTTCATAGACATATTTTTGTCTATGACCGGGATTCACAGACAAAAAAAAAACTTCTCACATACATGATGGGTACAAAAGTGGGTACAATAGTGGATACAAACAGATTTTTCCATATAATATGGATTCTTCTTGTTGTACCCACTTTTGTACCCACTTTTGTACCCACCATGTCTTCATAGACATATTTTTGTCTATGACCGGGATTCACAGACAAAAAAAAACTTCTCACAGACATGATGGGTACAAAAGTGGGTACAATAGTGGGTACAAACAGATTTTTCCATATAATATGGATTCTTCTTCTTGTCCCCACTATTGTATCCACTATTGTACAAACAGATTTTTCCATATAATATTCCAGACGTCCCATAATGAATTTCAATTTGCTTTTCTTGATAATCAATAGGGAAAGTTCCCGAAATAGGACTAAAAGAGTTTGAAAATTCCAAAATAGGACTGACATGTTTTTATTCCCAAAATAGGAATAATTACTGCCAAGTTTCGAAAATACTGCCATGTTTGAAGTCTGGTACTGCCAAAACATGTCAGTAATTAGTCCTATTTTGGGAATAAAAACATGACCGTCCTATTTTGGAATTTTCTTACTCTTTTAGTCCTATTTTGGATAATATCTTTAATCAATATAATTTCATTTTATTGTCCAGTTTTAACATCCATTTGTAATCAATTTTAATAAATCTGACTTTTGGGATATATTGAATGAAACTTTTACTTTTAGTTTAGTTTCTAAATATAGATACAAATATTCGTTATACTCGGTTAACCTCGTAACCCATAAAAAGAGGGTGGGACAGAAGGAATATATACTTTTTATAATTATCTCTGTTCTAAAAATCGCTCTAGGCGTCCGACTAGTCCCCGCCTAGGCACTAGGCGGTGGTCAGGCGCCCGATTTTCGTCTAGGCGCTCCGACTAATTGGTTAGTCGTCTAGGTGAATTAGTCGGCCGCCTATGGCGCTTACTTGCCCGCGTAGAGCGCCTAATCGGCCGCCTAGGCCGTCTAGATTCGCCGAACATTACTTCACTTTTTTAATTTTAATTTTCTAAATGCAATACATACTTTAACTTTAGTCATGCATATAAAGAAATGAAGTTGTAAATTAAGATAAACCTATGTATGTTTGTACATATACATACCCAAATTTTATCAGTATTTATATATATAACATAATGAAGTTGAGTGATTAGTTTCCATATACTACGTATGATTAGGCATGGACCCGGTTCGGGCCGCCCGGCCCGGTTCTCGGGTCCGGGTCGGGCCTAGGCCCGGTGGGGTGGCGGGTCCGGGCTCGGGCCTTGTATTTGGCGAACCGGCCGGGCCCGGATCCGGGCCGAATTAATTTTTTTTTTTTCATTTTTGGGGTTAACCGGGTTGGGCTTGATGGTTAGGACTTAGGAGTTAGGAGGGGTTTGGGGGGTTTGGGGGGGTGAGGGGGGGGGTTAGGAAAGCAAAAAAAAATTGACCAAACCGGAGGCCCGGCCCGGCCCGGACCCGGTGGCTACCCGGGCCGGTCCCGGGCCTTCCTTCCCAAAAAAAAGCCCGGCCGGGCCCGGCCCGGAATCGGCTCGGCCCGGGTCCATGACTACGTATGATTAAATTTGATAATTCTATCATTCATGTTTGTTAATGTATATGTAGATGTTTTTATTCACACAAAAATACAATATCACTTATCATATTTATGCAAAAATATAGATAAAAATGCAATTTTTATGTCTCCGACTAGTCTCCGACTAGGCACCCGCCTAGGCGCTAGGCGTTGGGTTGGCGCCCGACGAGCGCCTAGCGCCTTTTAGAACATTGATAATTATGTTTTGATGCATGATCAGTTGATCACTTTTTAATTAGTACTCCCAAAGTTTAGCATTGCAGTGATTTATAAAACATGCAAAAAGTAGTTTGGTAAGATGTAAATTAATTACTTTGTGTGCGAAGTGTAACGACGTAAAAGGTTTACACTGTTTGACTTGATTATCTAATGTAAACTATAGACCAGTTTTTAAAAACATTTTATACTTTACCATGTAAAGTATTTTACGTGGGAGGTTATATACTTTGAGTGCTTTATTATACTTTTCGTGCAAATTAAAAAGAAATTATATAGGAAAAATTGATAAGAATAATCTCACCTTTCACTTATCTTCTCATAATAATCTCACCTTTATATAATCCCAGAATAATCTCACTTTTGCACCCAATCTTCTTTCATTGGGCCCCTTTTTTTGAAAATCTTATATAAATA